GGGGCATCGTGGGATTTCCTTGGACCCTGTGGGGGCATCGTTGGGATTCTCCGCGCAGTCGGAAGGTGACGCTCTGCAATCTGAAGCCGTCATTCGCCGTCTTGGCTGCGTGGAGGCCCGACTTAAGGCCACCTGGGGCCAAATGAGGCAATCCAGAAGCCTCTCGGGGGGCCTCCTGGAGGCAGTTTTGATGCATCGAAGGCAGTGTTCGGCTATCTTGGGGCTCCTTGTGCGTCTCCTGGGGGTCTTGTGGGCCTCTTTTGAAGCTTTCGGGGGCCTCGTTGGACGTTACTTGGGGGCTCTTGGGGCCTCCTGTAAGCCTCTTAGGACGGAAGGCTCTGGTGTTGGGTTCGTTTCCCCTTCTTGAAGCTCTTGGGCGTTCCCGGAGCTTCCCCACGGCAACCAAGGCCTTCCCAAAGCGCCCCTGGGCGTTTCCAAAGCATCCCGCCGTTTTGGGGCCCTCTCGGGCCGTCTTGGGCGCCTTGGGGCCCTCGTGGGCCGTCTTGGGGCCCTCTTGGAGGCCTGTGCGGCTATCTTGGAGCGGTCTTGGGGGCCTCTTGGGCCGTCTTGGAGATGCCAAAAAGCTGAAAACTCAAACGTCCGTCAAAAACCATTGGGGAAGTTGGCCTGGCGAGGGACCCGACCATATGCAGCTGTGAACACTGCAGTCGTGAGCGTCATCTTCGGTGGGGCTCCCTATAGGGCCACGAGGCGTGTAAGGTGGAACTCCCTATGGGGCCACGAAGCGTGTGAGGGGTGTGCCGAAATGGGTGTGGCGGACGCATGTGGACTGGGGCCTTCGGTGGAGCTCACAATGGGGCCACGAAGCGTCTGAAGGGCGTGCCGACATGGGTGTGGGCGGACGCATGTGGACGGTGCCACTGGGGCCTTCGGTGGAGCAACCTACGAGGCCACGAAACGTATGAGGGGTGTGCCGACATGGGTGTGGCGGACGCATGTGGACGGTGACACTGGGGCCTTCGGTGGAGCTTCGGTGGAACTTCCTATGGGGCCACGAAGCGTGCGAGGGGTGTGCCGACATGGGTGTGGCGGGCGCATATGGACGGTGCCACTGGGGCCTGGTGGAGCTCCCTATGGGGCCACGAGGCGTGTGAGGGGTGTGCCGACATGGGTGTGGCGGACGCATGTGGGCGGTGCCACTGGGGCCCCGGGTGGAGCTCCCTATGGGGCCACGAAGCGTGTGAGGGGTGTGCCGACATGGGTGTGGCGGACGCATGTGGGCGGTGCCACTGGGGCCTTGGGTGGAGTTCCCTATGGGGCCACGAGACGTGCGAGGAGGAGGAAGAAGCGAGGCGAGGCGAGGGCGCCAGAGTCGGGCACACAGGTGTGCCCGTGCCCTTTTGGGCAGGGCGCAAGAGGCCGTGGCCTCAAAGCGTGTCCGAATAGACGTCGTGGACGAAGTTCTTCAAGAACCAGTGCAGCAGTGCACAAAGCGGAAGAAGTAGAAGGCGTGGCAGAGGATGTAGGATGTAGGATGTAGGATGTTCATGAACCTGATCAAGATCGAGTCGGTGTGGTCGGTATCGTGGCTGGTCCTGCCGATGGTCGTCGCTAGTCGGTGCTGTATGCCGGTGTCGCTGCTGCGGTGCTGTTGGCGTTGCCGTCGGTGTCGCTGTCGGCGTCGCTGTCAGAATGTCGATGTTAATCGGTTGATCGGAATGAACATGGGTAGAAGTCTCATTTAGGAGTTCCAGTGGCTCCGTGTGTGTGTGTGTCGGCCAGAGCTGTTACCATAACTGTTTTGGCACAAGCTGATGACAAAAAAATTGCCCCATCCACGGTATATATCATCATCATCGGTGGTGTAGTCAGTGTTCCTGTGAATTCGGTGTTGTTGTTGTTGTTGTTGTTGTGCTGGTGGTGGTGGTGGTCATTTGGCGTCGGCGCTGCAGGGTAGGAAAAGATATTGGTGCAACTGGCGTCGGGGAGTTTGCGCCCTCAGCTGTTGTATGCAAGGGAAGCGCTCTCAAGAGAGTCCTACCATGTCGTGTCTGTCGCGGCTGTCAACCATCTCACGTCGTTACTGTCGTAGTGGGGACATCGTCGTGGATGAATGGCGTCGTTGGTGTCGCTGTCCGTGGCTTCGTCCCTGGTGTTCGCGAGTAGGCCTACCAAAAACTTCCTCACGTCATCGTCCCATCTCTTCTTTTGGCCTCCGTGCTGCCGGTGGCCTTGCTGTTTTGCGTCGAGGCTGGGGTTCCAATTCAACACTCGGTGTGTCCATCGGTTTTGCGGATGGCTTGAAACGAGTGCGGCCCAACGCCAGATTTTTGCACGATGTATCTGTACTAGGTCGGAGATGTCGTGCTTGCTCGTGAGCTCCTCAGCCCTGCGTGTGCTCCGGCGGATGAAGTCCGACCACAGCTCGTCTTCGTCTGTCGTCTGCTCGTGGATCTGGCGTGCGTCACTGCTGTCATCTTGTGAGCTGGTCTGTTCTGATGGGGAGGGGGGGTTGCTGGATGCGTCGTGGTCGCTGGAGTCGTCAGGGTGGACGCTGTCTGCGACGTGGTTGCTGTGGCTGTCTGCTGATGGTGCGGCGTGCGTTCGTAAGGTGACGTTTGTGCGCCTCCTCGGAGTTCCGATGGTCGCCCGGACCATCCGTCGTTGAGTGCGGCGTAGCTGTTGTCGGAATGGCTCTGTCAAAATCCACGTTTCCGCGCCGTATGTCATGACGGTGCCTCTGTAAAGCCTGAGCCGGTGTTTGAGTGGGTAGTGCTTGCTCGTCAGTTCTTGTCTGTGGACTGTGAAGCATGCCCACGCAGCTTGTACCCTGTGTTGGATCTCGGTCGCCGCGGCATCTTGGAATGTAACCGTCTAGCCGAGGTATGTCAGCTTCCCAGTGTGAGGCATTATTGTAATGTCCATGTTTGCAACGCGGGTGTATTTCGAGGCCGTGTGGTTTCGCTGCTGTGGCCAAATCTGCTAGTAGAGTCCTCAGGTTGGATAGAGTTTGGCTAACTAGCAAGATGTCGTCGGCGAAACGGAGGTTAGTGAGAACCGATTGGCTGGCGTGCGCCAGATTCCTTTTCGTCGTCGCTGCCATTCCGGAATGAGTGGTGCTAGAACGTGCTGTAGAAGGTCGTTGAAGAGAAAGGAAATTAAAGGGTCTCCTTGCTTCGTGACGCGTCGTAGTTTGAACGGCTTGCTCGTGGAGTCGGTGCGTACTACGGCCGTTTGGTCGTGGCAGAGGCGGTGGAGTAAGTGGACGTAGTCGGGCGACACGCCCTGGTGACGCAGTGCTGCCCATAAGCTGTCGTGTTCCACTGTGTCGAATGCTTTTTTGAAGCCTACTGCTGCGATCCACAGAGCCTGGTTCCATTCAGAAGCCCTTTCCCGCAAGAGGTTAAGTGTGAAAAGGTGGTCGCGCGTCCCGCGCCCAGGTCGGAAACTTGCTTGGTCGTGGGGCTGGTGTTGATCAAGTACTTGTGAAAGCCGGTTGTATAGCAGGCGGCTGAACAGCTTGTAAAGCATGGGTATCCGACGTATCGGGCGGTAGTTTTGCGGGAGAGAGAGATCACCAGATTTGGGAATGACTGTAATCACCGTCTTCCGCCAACTTGCTGGAGTCGGGGCATTTGGCTGGATGACCGCGTTATACAATTGTAACAAGGCATGTTGTAGTTCCCGGCATGGGTGTGTGAGCATTTCGGCTTTGATTCCTACGTCGTCGTGTGACTTGCCAGTCTTGAGCTGTGAGATTGCTGCTTTGAGCTCTTCGGCCGTGAAGGGTGGGATGTGGCTCTGGATGTCGCTTGTGGTTGGTGGTGTGCGGCGGGCGCTGGTGGAATTGTACAGCTCCTCGTAGAAGTTCGCGAATACGTTGGCGATCCCTTGGCGGCTGATGTGCTTGGTGCCGTCGCTCCTATGCATTTCTGTGATCAGGGCTCGCTGTCGTCTCGTGTTGATGGTACTGATGCGTTTGAGGCCTCTGTGCTGCTTATCTGCTCTCCTTTTGCTGCGCTTTTGCTGTCGGATGAGCCTTTGCAGTTCTTTGCTAATCGTTCGTCTTCTGGTCGTGTCTGCCCTCGGAATGCCCTTGCGCTGGTTCACGAGGTGGGTGATGATGTCGCCACGGTTGCGGTCTGGCTCGTCGCTTGTGCGAGTGTCGGTCACCGCTGTGGGTGGTCGCGTCTGGTAGCATGGCATTGTTTAGGCCTTGCTCGATGGCGTCGATGGTGTGAGGAGGAGGAGGAGGAGGAGGAGGAGGAGGAGGAGGAGGGGAGGAGGAAGGAAGGAAGGAATGAACGCGGGGACCGTCTTGGAGCGTCGGGATGCCGAAAGGCTGAAAACTCGAAAATCCATCCCAAACCGATGGGACAATAATGAGTTGTACAGATTCGGGCCTTCTTGGGAGGCCTCTTGGAACCTCTTCGGCCCTCTGGGGAGCTAATTGAGGGCCTCTTGGATCCTATTGGGGGCCTCCTGGGGCTCTCTGAGAACCTCTCGGGGTGGAAGGCTCGGGTCTTCGCTTCGTATTACCCCTCTTTGGCTCCTCTCGGGGCCGTGTTGGTGCCCTCTCGGGCCGTCTTGGGCGCCTCAGGCACCCTCTTGGGGCCCTCGTGGGCCGTCTTGAGGCCCTGTTGGAGGCCGCTTGAGCTATCTTGGAACGGTCTTGGACGCCTCTTGGGCCGTCGTGGAGCGTCGGGGCGCGAAGCCTCAAAACTTCATCCAAAACCGATGGCAAGACAATGATATGTGCCTCTTGACTGGGCGATTCTCATCATGAGAGCGAGCACTCAAACCCCGAACGTGTAGTCCTTGCGACACGCATGAGCCTGGAAGGGCTCGTCGCGACGCTAAGACGGGATCAGCAACACGATCGTCAGCTACACGAGCAATCCAACGCCACGACGACAGGATGCCAATGTGTAAGTGTATACTGTGTCACGCAAGCATCTCCGAATGAATGAGCACCTTCGTAAGTGGGATCAGTCAGTGCGCGGAGACGACTGACCGAGCGACCACGGAAGATAATGGTC